AAAAAAAATAGATACAGACCTAAAAAAAATTGATTATAAAATATTAAAAATAACTACTCACCTTAAGTTTCATTTGAGAAAACTTTTTAAAACAATATTTTTAGTATAAAAATTTATTAAATTCAATAAAAAAAAATAGTAATAACATAAACATTTGCATAATATCCAATAAAAATTCATTTTTAAAAAGAGAGGAGTCTCTAATGTTCTAGAACTTTATGTCTAATCTACTCTACTAAGGTAACATATCCGAAAACAGAAACCGACATGAGTGTAAAAGTAATTATTTATTAACAACATAAACATTTGCAAATTCTTGTACCATGCTTGCAGACCTTGCTCACAGGGCAGAGATTTTCCCTTCTCCAGAGAGCTGCATCAAAACCCAACTTTGAAAGACTGACAAATGACGGAGAACAAGCTTTCAAGATTAAGCGAAGACATGTAGAAATTAACGTCAATGGAAACAATAACGAACAAACCTCAATGAAATCTCTTCAATGTGCTTCATTTTCTGCACAATTGGAATGAGCAAGTCGATATAAACAGAACAGTTAGCCTCTTCGCAAATCAACCACAATGACACTGATGTTATCAGTGCTTCTCCTTCCCAGCGCAAGCCTTGCAAGTAAAGCAGCGGCCATGGAGCACCAAGCTTCGGGTGCTGCCTGGTCCTTTTCATTACTGATCGGAGCTTCTTCTCCGGCGGAAGTTGGGTTGTTGAGATCTTTTTCAGCCAACTTTGGACTTCCCTCCGCCAAGCAACGCCTTGCTACGTTGCAGGCAAGCTCATTGGGAATTACGTCCCATAGCCCATCACTTGCGATTATCAAGCATTCGTCTTCAGGTGTTATTTCTAAAATAACAATCTCTGGTGCAGATATTACTACTGGTTTCAGGTACTTGTCGCCTGTGAAAGTAATGGAATGCGTGAGATCAAGCTTGTAGCTCATAAGAAACACAAAGATTTCATTACAGGCAGGCATAAAAAGAAAAAAATTTGGGTTTGGATATCCTGTCCCTAAATTTGGTCAGGATGGTCTTTAAAATCACCTAATTACGTAGGTACAATACATACATTGCATTCATTACTCATATATGGCACTCCTTTTAAAGCCAATCCAACGGTTTTAAATCTCACAGATACCAAATTTTTTGTCAGATAGCCTGATCCACATTATTCCGTGAAAAGAATAGTGTGGCTAACAGTTGGTCTAAGTGTTCGTGTTCATCACGCATTTCGTTGCCCATAACGTTGAGAGATTATTATGTGCGGCATCCGAACGCGTCACATCACTGAATGCACTGGCCCCCGGTGACGTGGAGGCTGGCACGTCCGGATTTGCCACCGGATGCGGCCAAACGCTGCACAGAATAACTTTTCCATACCGTTTTATGTGTTATATACTTGGATGAAAAGTCTATTACAACAGAACTTGAAGGATTTGAACGTGCAAGTGCAACCTACCAGAACAGGAAATCAACCCACAAAAACCCTGCTCAGGTATAAAGTCCAATATAGAATAGAAGCAATGATTCCTCGTGAGGAGAGTTTTGTGAGGTATTCTTGCAGATTTTTTTTTTCCCTAGAATATGGATATCAAGTATAGCATACAAGAATAGGGCATTTAAGAAGCTAGTATTTGCAAACGATGAAAAGTATACAAATGTGCAAAACTATTCAGATTTAAGCATGTTTACGAGCAAAGCAAAACAATTAATAGAAGGAAGTTTTCATTGCATAGACTAAAGATGCAATTCCCCCTTTCTATGTTAGAAAATTAAAAAATAATAAGTTTGACAACAATAGATGACATGCTCGAACATACCATTGCTTGTAAGATCACAAACACTCGAGTTTGAATCATAAAAGGGTGTACAGAGAGGGAGAAGGGGGTTTAATTCATTAATCTTCCAAACCCGATTGATGGGCATCTGTATATGGGAAGGAGAGAATGCAAGGTAAAGAGAAAGAAGAGAAGAAAACCAGGTACAGTGAAAGTTAGCCAAATAGTTTAAAAGGTTCAAGCAGGCTAGGCATCTTACCAAAACAGCTTTCTTATTCATGTTGACCTCATTTTTGCATTTATCATTTGTATAATAATATTGCACACTTCGGAGGTCGATTTACCTCATATACACGTTCATTCCATAAATAAAATTTTCCAATCAATACCTTATCTTGTGAAACAGATTGTAAATCCATCAAAGGGCTTCACCTTTTCCCTCTTAACAATAGTCATCATTCCAACCATCTAAGTTTGATCTAATGGTTGATTTTGATCATAAAAATAGCATGTTTTAAAGACTTTTTAAGGCCATCAAAGAGATTTGATCCCAACATTTGGATCACGAGCATCAAGGGGCTATATATAATGTCATTGCATTTTATCCTTATTATACGTTTTACTGAAGGAAAAACTAGGGCCGGCTTGTGGTACTCTCTCCCTTCCTATTCACGTACAGCCTGCTTCCTCACAAGCTCTCACATATTTTTGCTCACGACTATAGCACGACTATAGCACCAAGAGACTTTAAGTTGTTCTCCCTCTCTCTCAGTTTGTCCCATCCAGAAAAAAAAAAGGCCACGACTATTATTTGCAGTCGATTACGAATGAGGCCCTTTCCTTGGGGAGAAGGCCTTGTGTTAATGTAGCAAATATACATTATATTACATGGTGGAAATTGGAGAAAGTAGTACTAAAATGTTCGTTTAGTTGGCAAAACCATAGTCAGCAAGCGATAGAAGTCATAAAGACCGTAGTCTGATGATGGTGGTCGGAAGGACCGTTGTCTGGCGAGGGAGGTCAGAATGACCGTAGTCGGTGCAAGATAGTGGTCAAAAAGACCATTCTATGGCGAGGGAGGTTAGAAGGACCGTAGTCAGCGGGAGATAGTGGTCGAAAAGATCATTGTCTGACGATGGAGGTCGAAGGATCATAGTCGGCAGGAGACAGGTAAAAAAGATTGTTGCATGGCGATAGAGATCGAAAGTACCGTAGTAGGCGATGGAGGTCGGAAGAATCATATTCGATAGGAGATAGGGATCCAACGATGGAGGTCGAAAGGATCGTAGTTGGCAGGAGACAGATAAAAAAGATTGTTGCCTGGCGATAGAGGTCGAAAGGACCGTAGTAGGCGATGAAGGTCAAAAGAATCATATTCGATAGGAGATAGGGATCAGAATGATCGTTATCTGGCGATGGAGGTCGGAAGGACAGTAGTAGACGATGGAGGTCGGAATGACCGTTGTCGGTAGGAGACGGGGGTCAGAAAAACTGTAGTTGTAAGGCGATGGTCCGACGGAAGTCCAGGCTTTATTCAGTGATCTGGCGGAACCCTAACTTTTGTCGGTGGTCCCGCGAAAGCTAGGGCCTCAAACGGTGGTCCGACAAAACTCCAACATCAAGCAGTGGTACGACAGAAGTCCGGCATTAGGTGGTGGTCCGGACGAAATTCCAGCGTCACACTGTGGTCCAACGGAAGTCTGACGTCAGGCGGTGGTCCGACGGAACTCCGACGTCGGGCAGTTGTCAGATAGAACTCCGGCATCGGGCGATGGTCCGACAAAACTCCGGCATTGGGTGGTGGTCCGGCGGAAGTCCGTGCGGTGGTCGAGGAGCGAGGAGGCAAGAGCGATCTCCAATCTCTATCTTAATTCCTTGCTTGGGGCTCCCTTTTCATGAGAAAGAAGGGTTCTATATATAGATTTTTTTAGAGTAGCATGGCTTGTAAATATATGGAAGATCAGGGGTAAGTGGGAGTGATTTGGATGGACGACCGATGTTGATTCCCTTGATCATAAATCATTTAAAAGACATTTGAATGTCTTAGTGATTTAATAATTCAATGATATTGGGCTCGTCGGATTCATCTCGTCGACTCGCTCGATTCGACTATAAACATGTTACATTTGGAAACTGTTTGGTAATGCAAAATATGGTTTGAACTTTCCAACAACACTTCGAGTCCTCGATTTGAACTCATTTGGGCTCGGGTTGAGTCGATTTTGATGTCATTGGTTCGTAATTCCGAGACGCTCAATTTGATTTTAAGTTTATTGAAATCGGAGTTCAGATGATCCCAATTTTAATTTTGGAAGTTTCAAACTTAATTTTGTCATGCTCGATCAAGATGATTTTTTTGATGATGTATCAATTATTACAGTTTTTGTTTGTTTGGACAACCATTAATGCGTTACATATAAAATTTGAATATCTAATTTCAGTTGACCTCACATAATTTGTTTTCATTTTATTAGCATTACTTTATAGTGAAGCTTGGAGTATTTCTTAATTTTGATATTGCCACTTATGAATTTAAACTTTAATTCTGTCGATGATTCTTCATTAAGATTGTTTGTTAGTTGATTGGGTTCAACTTGCCTCCATTTGAACCTTCTTTTGAGTTATATTGATTGGGTTGGAATGGTTTAGTGGTCGATAGAGATTTGATTACAATTTTAATTAATTGTTTTGATTATGGCTAAATCAACTCAAAAGTCTTTCATTATGATTTTGATTACAACTAGACCTACTTATAGGCCATCTTGATTTAATTTTGATATATGTCAAAACTGGTTTTCTTTACTTGATATATACATACGCATTCATATTCAAAGTAGAATGTATCTAGGCCTTACTTAATGTGCTAGGCCTGCTTGTAAACTAAAGGAGTAAAATAGAATGTACTTAGGTGCAAATACGTATGCAGATGATCAAATATAAATATAAAGTGTCTAAATTATATATTTAGATTGAGTTATACAAGTTCAAATAATTGTAAAAGAATAAAGGTGATTATTAATGCCACATAGACTAATGTCACACTATAAAGCAAATTGAATATGAATGCATATACATATATCACGTAAAGAAAATCAATTCTGACACAATTCAAGATTAAATCAAGCTGACCTATAAGTAAGTATAGCTCAAATCAGAATCACAATGAAAGACTGAGCTGATTTTGGCCAGAATCAAAATAATTAATTAAAGTTATAATAAGAGGAGATATATATAAGAAACATTACAGCCTTCTCCATATAACAATTAAAAAGGTAGATTTAAACAAGCTAAATAATTAACAGGTAACAAATATATTCATACAAAAAATAGCTCAAACTACCCAAACTGAACAAAGATGATCGATCTTAAGTGACTTCCAAGCTTTGCAAAATTAAAATGGAAACCATGCTCATTCTTCTCAAAATAAAATTAAAACAAGAGGAAATGAAAGATATATCAATTTTCTCTCATTTTCAGTCTACATTCTCCTTCATCTCTTGATTTTGGAGAACACAAAAAGAAACAATTGCATACTCTTCTCTGGTTTGGCCAAAATATACAATAGCTACATCTTCTTATTAAACATAAATATACAGCACGTCTTGCTAGCCGAAGTATGCAACACTTATCTCTTCTTGTTTGGGTTAATGAAAAACAACATACCTTCTTCTGGCTTAAATTGGCTAAAGGAAGAGCAACATACGTTCTTCTTACTAGCCAAATACACAACAATTAATTTCTTCTAATTTCCACGGCCGAATGGAGAGAGGCACACTCGAAAAGAAGAGCTGTATGTGAATGGAAAAAGAGAGTTCTACACGAATGTTAGTCATTTCTATTCCTCTTTTTCTTTTGGATGGGATGAACTGAGAGAGAGACAGCAGCGTAAAGTCTCTTGCAGCTATAGTCGTGAGCCAAAAAAATGTAAGAACTTGTGAGGGAGCAGGTTTTAAGTGAATAGAAAGGGAGAGAGTCACCACCAGACAGTCCTAGCTTTTCCTTGAGTAAAACCTATAATAAGGATAAAATGAATGACATTATAGCCCCCTTAATTCAAATGTTGGGATCAAATCTCTTTGATGACCTCTTATCTTTAAAACCTAAAATTTTTATGATCAAAATC